AGAATGTAAGTATAAATTATGTGGCATAATCACAGCACCAATTAACGCAACAGCTTCTACCACCGCACTCCTTGGCACTAAAGGAACTATTATTCCTTTAAATATTTCACCGACATCAGGTTTACTCTCAATCATCTCAATCCAAAAACAGACCGCCATCACAGAAATTAACATCATAAAGAATGCTTCCAATTTCCTCACACCATAATTTTGCAGCAGCATAAAGGTAAGAGTATCCATTGCAGTCAACAAAGTGCCTATCCAGAGGGGCAGTCTGAAAATTATTTTGAGTGCTATAGCCGTACCAACAATTTCTTGTATATCTGAACCGATTATAGCAAGTTCTATTATTGTCCAAAACATTAACGAAACAGGACGTGAATAGTTATTGCTTATAAGCTGTGCAAGGTGTTTTCCTGTAACAACACCTAGTCTAACAGAAAGTACTTGTATGAGAAATCCCGCAATATGTGCATATAGCAAAATCCAAAGCTAGAGTTAATGAAGAATGGATATGAGGTAAACATCACGTTAAAATACAACGTATATAAAATAAAGAAAATTTAGTTGATGATTATACCATGGAATATCCAGCGGCCGCACCGCATTGAAGATCTGCTTCCAAATTACCGGGATCCAGATAAGCGACAGACATTAAAAACCCTGTTAAATAGGATAAATTAATAAATTTAGAGAATCTTTAAGGAATAATTCGAATTTAGAATCATGTGAACAATCTAGCAATTTCAAAACCTCATGTACTGTTCAATCATCACTAGCTCAATCATCTTTTAAAGATACAAAGTTATAACGATTAAACGAGCTTACCAGGACCTGTATACGACCACAACTTTTTCCAAGAAAAACTGCTTGCAGCTTCACCGGTGTCTACCTGAGCCTCAACCAATTTATCCCCGAATTCAATAAACCCATGCTCAACATGCTTATCAGGTTCATCCAAAAGTTCTTGTGTATTTATTTCATTTTCTATTATTGATTGTTGAAATAACGGAGTTTCGATGTCTGCAGCTTCTTGGGCTGACATGGTTCAATTAGAAAAATGAAGACGTTTTGGCAAGTTAGGATTATACACGCTATAAATCTTACTTTATTGCGGTTTTCCTTTTTAGGTATATGCATATTGTGATACCCAATTCCAATAATTAACGTTAACAAAACAGTAACGATAAATTCGTCTACGATCACCATGAGTTTTTCATCTTTCCGCTTTCGCATTTACTAATTTCCTCCCAAGTTTCGATGCTGGCCAATCAGGAAACAAGATCAGGTGTAACGTGAAAAATAAAATTTCGCCTACTTTCTGCGCACTAAAAAAATTCGCAAAATTTTGGTAGTTATCTACTAATCCTATTATTAATCCTAAGATATCATATTTTAAGAGAAAGTGGCTTGTGAATCAATACGAATAATCCTAATGAATTCATCTCCGTACTTGTAATACAAATTAGGTACGCACATACTATGTTTACTGTGTACTACCAATCTCAATTTAGATCAATTTGAATAATAAATTTCCAGTCTCGGAGTACTAATCAATTTTTAAGCAGAGAATGTAAAACCCAGGGCACTGTTTGCCGAAATTACGGTATGTAGTATGGATTTGATGCTAATATTAACTTTGTTTAAAGTTTCCGATTAGAAAAATTAAACTTTTTTAATGTTTAATAAACTTATATAGTAGATATATGCTTCTCATGTGACTATGATAAAGATAAATGCAGCAAAAGTACAAACATTATTTAAAGAATAATTATAAAGCTTCTGATCAGAATATTTATAAGATACCTATCTACTCTAATTTAGGTTAAGTCAATGAATTTAGATATTCTTTAACAAATATAATTATTGCTTATAAGCATGCCTTTTATACCACCAAAAAAATTAATAACATGATTGATTGTTAAAACCCATTTTTTTGCTATCGTGCAACAGTTTATAATATTCTTTCCTTTCTATATTGAGCACCAAACTCCTCATGGTCAACTTAAAATTGGTAAGAACTAAAAAAAAAATTGTGAATATTGATTTTAAAAATGTAAAAGTCTCTTCGGAATGATTAAACACTTACATTTCCTACAATGGCTAACGGAATATCAAATATATCTCGTTTGATGGTAAAACAGAAAGCACAAGGAACTGGCATCCCAGATGGTCTCATAAGAATACATGTAGTCATGACAGATTGTCTTGAGTTATCAAATGCATGTGCTGCAAATTTCTCCCAATATTCTACAGCAGATTGATTATCCATGACCTTAAAACAACAAATAAGTACTTAAGAAAAATTAATGGCCACATGCATAAAAAGTCTGGAAATGATTCCATACCTCGTATATATACGTTGTTTTTCCAAGTAATTGGTCTTTAGTCCATTGCGTTAGCAACAAAAATTCCTTACCCACTAGGGCGATCTCTCCTGTTCTACGCCAAACAACCGTTGGTGTTCCAGAAAAACTTATAAGCTTCTCAAATTCCTATCTCGCCACCAAAAAAAAAAATAATAAAATAAAAAATAGGGTTGCATTAGCAAATTAATGTAATATTATGCTAGAATAAATAAAGTAACAAATACTTACTAATATTGTTCTCTGGAAACATTTTTCCATAAAAATCAAATCTTCTTCAGTCAAGTTCATTATAAGTGCAATAAACGATGGCCGAAATGTAGCCAACGCTCTCACAATCCTCTCAATATGATCTTTTTCCATTCTAATATATATATATATATATACAGATGCACACGACGATTTACCGATCTTAACCAAAATAACTAGTCCCTGAACATTAAATGATAAAACCGTGTTACCTTTCTTTAACCCAATTTACTAAATAATGGAACCCTTCCGTGTATGAAAACGGTGTTTTGACATTCGCATAAACGTTTTCTGGTGTATTTGAACACATCTTCTTTTTCCCAGAATTTTCCTTCGTATTAAGCATCATTATTTGATTCTATTGAATTCATGGGGTGTCTTGTCTGGTGTTCTGTCACGT